GGAACTAGTAGGTTCTGCCAGCACAGGGTATCCTGAAGCTCTCCCACACACTCACCGGGCCTGGGCTAGGACTTGGTCTGGGGATTCCCGGAACACGGCAGAAATTCCTACTCACCGGGTGGGGTGGGGAAGGTGCTGCGGAGTGGTGGGGGTTGTCCCAAGTGGGTAGAAGAGGGTCTCACCCATGCTGCACCTGGGCTGGGACCAGTAGGTTCCACCGGTGCAGGGTAGCCAGAAGCTCTCCCACACACTCACCGGGCCTGGGTTAGGACTGGGTCTAACAGACACATTTAATTCAAAGTAAATTCATAGACTGAAAGTCAATGGAAAGAAAATAATACTCTATGTCTCAGGAATGTGAAAAGATGCATAGATAGCTAGTCTATTTGCAGATAATGTGTACTTCAAGCGAAGAATGATCAAATAAGACAAAGAAGTTCAGTATATACTTGTTAAGGGAAAATTCCAAAGAAAGATAACAATCATAATATATATGCATCAAATACTAGTGCACCCAGCTACATAAAAGAAATATTAATAGATGTGAAAACTGAAATAAGCACTAATACAATTGTAATAAGGGAACTTAATACGCCATTGTCAGAAATAGATCAACTAGACAAAATATCAAAAAGGAAGTATCAGAATTAAAGCACTCCTGTGAAAGAGGACTTGATAGATGTCTCAGAGTGTTCCACACCAGAATATTAGAATATGCATCTTTCTCACCTGAGATATTTTCCAAAGTGGGACACATACCTGCCCATAGAATATGCTTAAGTAAGTACAAAGGAATTGAAATCATCCCATAATATTATCTGACCATAGTGCAATGAAAGTGGAAATCAGTGCCAAAGAAACCACAAAAACTACATAAACACATGGAAATTAAATAACAGATTCCTGAACCACCAATGGGTCACAGATAAAATTAAAGAAGAAAAAAAGAGCTCTTGTGGAGGTACCTTGCGTGAGGCTGAGAGTTGGAGCTGCACATTTTGTGCCACTGCCCAAAGGGGACCCCAAGAAGCCAAAGGACAAGATGTCTGTATACACCTTCTTTGAGCAGATCTACAGAGAGGGGCACAAGAAGAATAACCCAGAAGTCCCTTGCAGAATTTTCCAAGAAGTGCTCCAATTTTCCAAGCTTTTCTAAGAGAGGTGGAAGATGATGTCTAGGAAAGAGTAGTCTAAGTTTGATGAAATGGCCCAGGCAGATATAGTTAGCTCTGACACAGAGATGAAAGATTATGGACCCACAAAGGAAGGTAGGAAGATAAAGGACCCCAAAGTCCCCAAAGACCACCATCTGGATTTTTCCTGTTTTGTTCAGAATTCTGCCCCAGGATCAAATCCACTAACACTGGTATCGCCATTGGTGATCTGGCCAAAAAACTGGGTGAGATGTGGGATAATTTAAGTGACAGTGAAAAGCAGCCCTGCTTCACTAAGGCAGTGAAGCCAAAGGAGAAGTATGAGAAGGAAGTGGCTGACTATAAGTTTAAAGGAAAATTTGGTGGTGCAAAAGGCCCTGTTGAAGTTGCCTGGAGAAGAGGAGGAGGATGAACAAAAAGCTTGTCTCCTTGTGAATCCCTGAGAGTAGGGGAGTTCCATGACTGACTGTTTCTTGGTTAAATGCTAACCAGATTGTGATCCTGTAGTCTCTCAAGTGCTCTGGAAGTAGGCAGTAGTTGCTCAACTTAGCCATGGGTGTCCAGAATGCTGTGAAATTGTATCAAAGCTGTAAATATTTCCAAACATTTTAAACTGAAAAGGTACCTTGTGTTCTCCTTGCTCTGTGTACTTTGCTGTGGTTGTGAAAAGGCATTTGGAGATGTCTCTGGCATTTGTTTTTTAAGTTGTAAGATGGTGTTAACTGCATGGTCACTGGCTAGAAACCTGAGTTACCAACTGTACATATCTAGAGTTTGTAAAAAAAAGAACAAAGCAACCTAGGCAAACCCTTGATGCTTCCTGCTTGGTGCTGAGGCTATAGGGCAGATGTCACCAAGAAGGGACCTTAGACCTGTTGTTCCTGTGGCTGTGGCAGGGATCCAGTTAGGTTCTCTATATAATGACCTAGCATCCTGCTGCCCTCTCTTAGCTGGGGACTGAGAGGGTCAGCTGGCATGAAAAGTGTTTGTATTTGTTACTGTTTTTTTTAGTTAAGTGACAAACTGTTTCCAAACTGTAGAACTCTTCATTGGCAAAGAGTCAGAGAAGTTTCAAGAAGCTGCTGTACTTAAACATGATTTGCAATGTTGTGTTTTATTTTTTGTATGTTTAGAATGCTGAAATGTTTTCCAAGTTAAATAAACAGCATTTTTCAAAAAAAGAAGAAGAAAAATATAGTATCTACAATTAAATGATAACACTAATACAACATACCAAGGGCCGGCCCAGTAGCTCAGTGGATTAAAACACATACTTTGGCAGCAGCAGGGATCAGGGATTTGATCCCCTGGCCTACCTACTGACCCTATTGCTGTGGAGAGCTGAGCTGGGGATTGAGCCTGGGTGTGTTGGTGCACACCTGTAATCCCAGCACTTGAAAACAGGAGGATCATCAAGAGTCTGAACTGTGTAATGAGACCCCGTATTAAATACATTTAAAAAAAAGCAGATCTATGGGAGGCAATGAAATCAGCCCTAAGGTGGCAATTTATAGTCATGAATTCACTCATCAAGAAAATGAAATGAACACAAATAAACAACCTAGTTTTGAACCTCTAGCTTGTAGAAAAAGAAGATAAAATCAAACCTAAAACTCATACAAAGGAGGAAATTGTAAAGATCAGAAAAAGAATTAATGCAATGAAAACTAAGGACAAAATACAAAAAAATCAATAAATCAGGGAGTTTTTTCTCCCAAAGACTAAATAAAATTGATAATCCCTTACCTAACTTTATCAAAAAGAGGAAAGAAAAGACTCAAGTCCTTATAAAGCTAATACCACATATAGGTCAACAGCAAGACTAATAGGCCAAAATACCACATAAATAACATAGATAATAATACTAAATGAAAGTACACACTTGATACATTAATGATGCTGGACTACAATAACTTTTTTCCTTGTCTTTCTTTTATTTTGCACATTATTTATAAATTGAGTTTCTCATGCAAGAAAAAAATGTGCAACATTTAAGTTTGTGTGTCAGCTTTCCTTCACTTGGTATGATTACCATTAGTTTGAGTGTATTTCAACAGAGAATGTTTACCTGGCTCTGAGGTTGAAGATGATTAGTAATTAGCTGAGTGCTGAGCACTCTGTCAGGCAGGCTTATATACTCACCACATCTGAGTGGTATTCTTCCATCTCATTTCATGCTTGTAAATCAGGGACAGCCTGTCCATCAGAGGTAAATAGGAATGTCCCACATCAAATTCAGATTAACATGCTTGCAGCTTTATCTTATATTTAGGAGAGTCAAATGTTTAAAATAGGGCTCTGGTGCAATTACCACATTATAATGACTTAAATCACTGATTATATATACCTTATTATTTCCAGTTCCCCAAAATCTTTCACTTGAACTCATCTCCAGGTTTGTTTTGGAGGATCTTTCCCATCTCTCTGGAGATGTACAGTAAGTTACCAGGATGCTCTATATCTTATCCTGTTTCTCTAAAATGTTTCAGAAATTCACATTTTTGATGTTATTCTTGCTTTTGATAGTCCTTTTTTAAATCGCTGTGGATTTATTATTGTTCTATATTTCTCTTGTCATTTCAATGAAATTGGGTCAGCTAAGAAGAAGAAAAATGGTGAGAATGTTTATTCAGCTCTCTTGAACCAATATTTAAATTTCTCTGTCACTTCACTTGAATTATCTGAGCAGTTAGACAAATTAAATCAGTGGAACCTTCTGAGTTTACTAAGACTAGAGCCATCTGTCTTAATCCCATTTCTTCAGCATCTTCATGCATGCACACACACACACACACACACGCATGCACACACACACCTACTCCTTCCTTCTTTTACATCTCTAATGTTTTTCTCATTGGCTTTTCCTTTCTACTACTACAGATAATAAAGCTTCTCTATTTTAATATCATTTTATTGATTTTTACCTCCTTCCTATGCTTCACAACTCTCTCATTAAGAAGTAAGCTCAAATACCAGAAAACATCGCTAAACTCTCACTCTTTCTCTTTCTTTCTTTCTTTCTTTCTTTCTTTCTTTCTTTCTTTCTTT